AGTGGGCAGGGCGGAATGCTGGGTTTCGGCCGAGGAAGCCACGGAGGGAGAGGAAAATGATGAGGATGGCGACGGCGACGAGGTGCGCAAAGAAGAGGATCTTGGCGAACCTGGCGGCGAAGTTGGCAGTGGGTCTTCGGTAGACCACTTCGGTTGCATCAACCTGCGAAAAAAGAAAGCTGTGCAGTAAAACCAAGCCAACGAGGTCGAAGCGGGGAAGCGATGAGAGAGAGAGAGAGAGAGAGAGAGATCTTGGTTAGTCACCTGCGCCGGCGATATCGGGATGTTCCGTGCGGCGGTAGTACACCCACCGTCCTCCACGGAACCCGAGTCTCCGATGGGGACATCAGCAAGACTGCTCACCATTCCCTTCTCCATGTCACCTCTCTCTCTTCTCCTTCCTTCTCGCCTTCTTCTTTCACTCCATTCACTCTGCCTTCTCTTCCGTCCTCTCTCCGCTTTCATCCTTGTGGCGCGCCCGAAACCTGCTCCGAGGCATTTTGCTTTGCAAGACAGTGGTTTGCGCGACCGAATCACCTGGAAGAATTACTCGGATGACGTGGCTTCTCCATAGCTGATATACTGGAACCCCATCCGCGAGCTGTGTGAAACCACGTCACCCAGGACAAGTTGAGTCGGCCCTTGGAGACGGTTAGCAGCGGATGACGGGGCCAAGTGACGTCGGACTGGTGACAGGTAAGCATCACGGTTCCGATTTCTTCTACGGAACTAAAACCAAGCGACACTTGCCTTTCCCGCTCACCTACCCGCTGAGTGACCAGGTCTTCCTCTTGAGGGTCCCACTCTAATAACGACTACGTTGTCGGGTAAATACAAAGGGAGTGTTTCGGCTTCGTAAAAGTGCCGAGAACAGCGGAACCCACTAACCCACCCCTCCTCCCGATATCTCACACGCACGTTCCTTTGTTGCGGTCCCACCTTAAAAGCCACCTCTTCGTTGGGTAATAGTTGTCGGAGTCCAGTAACACGTCCTCCCCATCGCCCACCCACGCACGTTTCCCAACCGCCGTTTCTTCTAAACCTAATCGAAAACACACGATGTATTAGTGTTCTATTAGCACCCACAGAAGATAACCCAATCAACGACCCAGTCGATCCTGACCGTCACTGATCTCATAATTAACGGTGGATACTAACCTCATTTCCTGATTTGTCTCACGTTGCGGATCGAATTTTTCCTTACACCCATAATGTGCCCGACCCATTAATGATATTTATTAATCGAATCGAGCACGGATCGTAAAGTGTGATAAGCAAGATTAATTGATATATCGTAACATCTAAATGTTGAGCTTGTTTAGTATGGCACGACTCAGATGTTGGAGTCGCTTGCACGTTTGATTGTATTATGAGTGTACGCAACAATTATACCCACTGTTTCGAGGCACTACTACTTGGCATGCTTTTGACCAACATAGTTTGACTTGAGATTATATCTACCGACAATAATCTAACAAATTATTTTTGATAATGATCCATGTAAATTTTACGCCTAAGTTAAAATTATGGAGGTCTCTTCTGTCTATAGTGTCATCGTTACTATAAAGTTTCTGACTAACAAAGAAATCGAGAAACTAAAAAAAAATATCTATGGAGTCTCCAACATTTAAACTAGTCAAAGTATTTCTCATCGATTCCATTCATAAATCTTTGCCTAAGAAAAACTCATATCGATTTCGTTTGCTAACCAGTTCGATAAGAACTACATAGATTTACATCAAGATCAATAATTTATCATTAATGAGGAAGTTGATAAGCTATTGAATGTTAATTTTATTTACGAGATTCGATACTTAAGTTTACTCGCTAATATGTTGACTATATTGATTTGAATAAAGATTGTCCTAAGTACAATCATATAAACTTTCATATACATATATATATATATATATATATATATATATATATATATATATATATATATATATATTCTCATTATTAACTCTCATATCTTTTTTAGATATACTCAAATAAAGATAGAACAATGAGTGACATCCCACAATAGTCCATAAAATATTCAGATGGAAACAAGAAGGCCTATATAATATGTTAGCAAAAGCCCAAGTAATTGATACTTATGTAGCAAATCTTGAGAAAATCATGACAATAATTAAAAATATTCAAATGGCATTGAAATATGCATTTGGATATGACTTTGGTAAATCTCAGAGATTTATGATCCACATAGGGCGAATTGATGTAAATCCGGAAAAGATTAATGTTGGGATGTGGATGTCCACCACCTTTTCGCAGTCTATGAGATGTGGATGTAAGCCTCATGCATAATAGGCCAACCTGTGTTCCTCAACCATGTTGTTTGAGGGGGGTCTATCCTTAGCTTCAACTGTAACTCTGCACTTACTAGGGATGTCAAACAGAGCATTCTTGCTAAACATGAGATCATTAAGATGCCAAGTTGAACTTTAATGGCCACAAGTTCTTCCAATTTTACCTGAAATAAATCTCTAACTTTTAAATTTAAATTGGCTTAATATATTTGATCTAAGAGATAGGCTACAAATTTCCATACCTCCTTTTGTATCTATCTGTATGGAAACCTTCAGGCCGATTCCATTAGAAGTTAAGTTTTCTGGCTGATTTGGTGTTTTTGCCTAACTATTCCTTCTATATGCAGCCTTCCTTACTTGACATGTTAAGAAGATAAAGCTTTGGCAAATAAGAAGGGAATGGCTTGAGGTTCTAAATTTTCTTTCAGAATATAAAGTCGAACTACAGAACCAATGAGTTTTATTCTTAAAGAGTATTAACTGATGATTGCAAGAAGCAAGCCATATGCATCCTTCCTCTAATTTGTACTGAATAACAATCACTGCAGCATGATGGAAGTCACACTTGTATGCCAATGTCAGGGAGTACCGATGGAAGAAGATTGAACCACTGCATCAAACTTACAAATGCCTCCTAAAGTAGGTTCATATGAAATTGGCAACAGTAATGGAGAAGCTGCTACCTTTCTACTAAATAGTTGGACTACAACGAGCTCATGAAAGCTGTGGCAGGCACATCAAGGGCGATAGCTGAAAGCTCAGACCAAGGAATGTCAAGCTTACTGGATGAACAAGAACTCGATCTGCAGCATGGAAAAGAGGGAAGTAATAGGAAAGAAAAGCTGAGTGTTCCCCTGCGGAGAAATGAGTTATGAGCCATGAACCAGAGTTACAGGCTGGAAAATCTTTCTTCAAGATCAAACTCCTCATCCACAACTTGGACTTGCTTCTTTTAATGCACGATATTAATGTTCCCTCCTCCATTAGTGCTGTGCTCCCCTACAAGGTAGATGTGGTATCATCATCCTTCTACAGTTGTACTCATGGAGTCTACACAGGCAGTAATGACTGTGGCTGGACAAACAATTAATCCTGCCCCAAATCCAAGAAAGATAGTTAATTAATAGAAGCTGATCTCTTTCTCTCTCTCTCTCTCATTCATTCTCCTGTGCTGGCATCAATGGCATCAGGAGCACTCCATGTCTCTTGCAATAGAACACTGTTCTCCCCTTGTATTAAATCTCTTTTAATTGCTGTCTCAGGTACAGGTGACATTTCCCCACTTTTGAATGCAGCCATTACTTTGTTGCTTATTCTTCGTGCTTCTGCACCCAATGAGTTATTTGCAGCACAGCTCTCTCTCTCTCTCTCTCTCTCTCTCTCTCTCTTTTGTGCATGGACCAGTGTCAGAAAATAGAATATAGAATGATGTTGGGTGTTGTGAGATCCAACAACAACAGCAAACCCCCACAATCAGCTGTAATATTTAGATTATTTAGTTTTGAATTTTTTTATATCACTGTTGAGCTACTAAAAAATATTATTCTTATTACATTGAAAATATTTCAATTCTTATTTATACTTTCTAATGAAAGCTTCTTGGATCTCTTTACCTCTTTAAAATACTACTAATATTAATCAACTAGTTATTTTTAATTATAGTACCTATCTAACAAAAAATATTGTAATTCACATTTTTATTTGAGCATTTATAATCGGGAAATCAATGGATTATGTCATCCGATCTATATTAAAATGATGAAAGAAATCAGATCAATTCCTGATTAGTGAAGTTTTAATTATCACAATCAGGTACAAGATATAATCAGTTTCATATACCTAAATTTTGCATGCAACACAGTATTATTATGCCTATGAGAATTTAATGGTGACTAATTATTCTTGAATAATTTGTGATAACATTTGTTTATTCTACTGATAAGACCCTCCCCTCCCCTCCCCTCCCCTCAAATAGATATCAACATAATATAAAATTTAGAGAAATATTTCATTCATACATCACTATTTCTCCCCCTTATATAAAACTCACTAAGTCACGATAAATAATAAATAATTAAGGTCAATGAAAACTCTTACTTTTCATTTCAGGATCAATTATAATAGTAGACGGATCACATCAAAAATCTTACCTAATCTCAGTATTCATATTATGTTCGAGCATCCTCTCAATCATCGAGTTAGTGTTTCTCTTTTTCGACTGCATCATATTTTCTGCACACACAAACTGGATTTAGGAATCATCCACATGTTTCTTCTATTTACCTCGAATCATTTTGGTTACCATCACATGCGACAGTTCTTATCCACTTCAAAGGTTTCTTGGTCTCACATAACTTAATTCTATAAATAAATATATGCTTATTGTTTTATTACTATGCCCCGTTTGTAAAACTAATTACTAGAGAATATTCATTAAATAATTTTTTTTTATCTTCATTATCATCGATGAGTAATCAAAACACTCAATTATTGCATCTGGATCAAATCTAAGATGTCACCCTTGTCCTCGTCTGCAATATTCCAAACTCCACTCGATCCGATTCAAAGGCCCAAGCCATTTCCATCTCGATCTTCCATGCTAAATCCCTAGCCGAGCCGAGCCGAGCCGATGCCCTGCCTCCGCTCCTGAAACCAAGCTGACCGTGCCGTACAGACGGCAGTAGGGATTCAAGTCCTACATTGTTACCGGAGAGTAAACACATCATGTCGTTTCTCCCTCCCTTCTCTCTCCCTGTCTCAGTGTGCTGTTCTCCCATCTCTCTCTCCTCTCTTCCCCCGAGCGCGGCACTTGATTTGTGGTCACCGACAGGGGATTAATGGCGGAATTGGTTCCTATTGAGGTAAGGAAGATCACCTGAGGTGACGCGATTTCTTGAGCTGAGAGGAAGGTGGCAGGGAGACGAGAGATGGAAGGAAGAGAAGGCGGAACGAGTTGCTAATTTTTTGTTATATACTGATTTCTTATTGCTTGATAAGGAAGAGAAAAAAAAAGGTTCTTTCTTTCGCTCATAGGAAGATAGAAGCAGAGAGAAGAAGAGGTGGAAGCGTGACAAAGAAGAGAAGAAGAAGGGTGAAAAAACCCCCCTTTTTTTTTCTATTTCTTTCCTCTTCCGAAACAGTCAATGAGGTAACGCGGAGGATTTAATGGCGCTTTTGGTGGAGACTCTCTCTCTCTCTCTCTCTCTCTCTCTGATGTGATTCCCACGCACGAAACCAACACCGGCTTCCTCTATAAATGAGCTCCCATTTCCAGATACGTTTCCCCTGGGCAGACCACCGCAGCCTCCTCTCGTCGGCACTGGGCTCTGCATGTCTGATTCGTCCTTTTTGATGCGTGTGTCGCAGAGAAATTGAGGAAGGGAGGGGAAAGGCGCCATCTTGATGTGGTTTTTGCCGTCAAAATCGGATTTTTAAGATTGAAGGAGGTTTTAGGGATCATCTCTAGCCTTCATTGACGGAGAACTGAGGAAGTACTTGGCTGGCTGGCAGAGAAGCCTTCAAACCGATGCATCAAAAAACGAGAACCTTTAATTGGAATGACTGAGACCGATTGATATTAGCCTTCTGTTCAAAGTCTTTTGTTCTTCTCGAAGAGTTCCAGTGGGTGGAGGAATCTTTACCTTTCCATCTCCTCCCCGTTCTTCAAAGTTCCAATCTTTGTTTCATTCAAAGGGATTCCAGGGTTGCAGTACCAAACCCAGGTCAGTCCTATCTCTGTTGGACTTGCTTTCTTTTATTTTCTTTTGGAAGGAAAGGGAAGGTGGAAGAGACCATCTTCTCCTTTTTTTGCCTTTCGCTCTTATATGACTCCTTACATCTGCAGAGGCAGGCCTCAAAACCAAAGCATGATGCTGAGGAAGAGATCAAGAGCAACCGATGGCAAGCAGGTTCTCATGCCTGATGCCAAGCCCCGACCTTCCTCGCTCTTCCCCTTGTGCTTGTCCTACCATGGCTCCTCAGACTCTGAGGCTGCCATGAGCCCGACCTCCATCCTCGAAACCAAGAACTTGTCTTCCACCGGTAACCATTTCTTCTCTGATAGGCAGCCAAATAAGCCTCCTTTTGATGCTGTGACCACCACCACCACCACCACCACCGCCACCAGCAGTGCCATCGGGCTCGGCATCATCGACGCTCTCAATGGCGAGAAATCCGTCGCCATCTCTCCCAAAGCGCAGAGCCGAATGCTGCTGCTTGGATCGCAGCTCAAGATCCAGATCCCTTCCCTCTGCTCCGGCTCCATGTCGCCGGTGGGGTCGCCGATAGAGTTCGGCCTCAAGAACAGAGACTCCCAGTTGGCGTTGCTCTCCCCTGCCCCTGCTTCTTCCCCTCGGGTGTTCACCGGGAGCATCCCCATGAGCGAGATGGAGCTCTCCGAGGACTACACCTGTGTGATCTCTCATGGTCCAAATCCGAGGACCACCCACATCTTCGACAACTGCGTGGTGGAGAGATGTGGAGATGGGAGCTCTGCAGCCGATAGAGGAGGCTACCTGCTTGATGATTTCTTGAGCTACTGCCATGCATGCAAGAAGAATCTGGGCCAAGGGAAAGACACCTTCATGTACAGGTCAGTTTCATGACAGCTTTCTCTGCATCAAAATCCAATCAATCCTTATTTTTGTCAAACAACATACCTCGTTTAGATTTGAACCGACAGCTTGCTGCTAATCTTGCCAAATAACAGTAGAATTCCTTGGAACAAACAACCCTACAAGTATATACTGGTCAACTTTAATCCAGCCAATTATTTGTCTTTGGTAAGGCTTTTGTGTAAGAAATCTTGCAACTACAACTTGATCAAAAGCTAAATCCTTCAATCCACAAGCGGATTTCTCGGTCTTGGTTAGCTTTCGCTGTATGCACATAATGCTGAGATTTGATCACACACCATGATCATGTTAAAAAAGGAACCATGTGCAGGATTCCATGCATTTGGTAGTGAGCATGCCACTGTTCTTGGGGCCTCATGTCTGGAGTGGTCACTGTTGGGGTCCCCAGTCTTTGGTAGGAGCTGCCTTCATGATCAATGAAAAGTGGAAGTAACATAGTGGCATCATGCCCTCAAGTTTGGGTCACTACACTTGGATAAGCTACAGAAAGTGACCGATCATGCGTCCCCTCCTGTTGCAGACTATTGCATCCAACATGGTTGAAATTGCAGTAAACTGTATTGACAATTACATTGCTCACTACAGTAATTCTTGTGGTTGGTGTCATGTGTTTCAGAGGCGAGAAAGCATTCTGCAGCAGCGAGTGCCGCAACAAAGAGATGCTCAATGATGGTGGCATGGAGAAGTGCTCGGAGGAGTCATCACTCACAATGTAGTCCAGGATTCCAAGCTCCAACTATCACTGCAAGATTTGCAGACAGTCCAGATTGGAATTTTGCAGTTCCTTTTGGTGGTGATGGATTCTGATCCAATAGTGAGTGAAATGATTCGGAAGATAAAACAACATCGTTCATGTGCCTCTGTGGATGTTTCTGATGATTTTTGCTTCCAGGGAAGGATGCAGGTGAGCTTTCAGAGATGGTTCTGCTCAGACTAATGTTGGGTTTGGTACCACAATTTTTTGGCTCAGAGAGAGAGAGAGAGATGACAAATGTGTTACTGCCATCTGTTGTCATGCTAGGTTTTGGTACCAAAGTTTTTCTTGGCTAAGAGAGCCACATGTTAAGGTCATCTGTCAACTACTATCATCATGCTATTTTACACTCAGAAGACCTGGTGGATTTATGCAACCCCTTTTACCTCATATATTTAGGTCTAGTTACTCTTTAACTTACTCTTTCTGTTTTCTTTGTGGTTCTTCTAGGGCTTCTAGGGTTTTGTCATGTTAAAGTTTCCTACATATCAACTGCACCAGATAATAACAGAGCCTACTGCATTATAAACCTTGTTTGTCATGTTTAAGAGCTCATTCTAAATGGGCGCAGAAAAGTCAGTTCTTTGTACATTAGCTACATGCATCAGACAAAGACTTGCAGAAAATTATTAGACATTCCTCAATTGCATTGAGCCTTAAGGTATAAAATACAGACAAATCTTGCTCACAGGCTCTCTTTCCTCATTATTGAGGGGCCCAATACCTCTGAGGTAATATTGATTCATGCATCATCAGTTCTTATCCACTAGATGTGTTCCTTGCCAAATTGAACTTTTTGTATTTGGACATGCTAAATTCTACATGATCAGTTCTGGTTTTGGCATTCATTCTCTGTAGTTTATATTGTTCTAACCAGATAAGCAATTTCAGCTTACTGGTATTGATTGGAATGTAGAACAATAAATTGCTTTGGAAGTTAGCTATTCCAAACAAACTTTCCCAGTATGTGCCCATCAAAATAGCATGGCTAGTAGCTCTATCTGCTAGACCAACAAGAGTAATGCATCATTCATCATCAATACTTCTCACTTGTAGAGAATGTTGAAAGAGGAGTTATATCTCCACTGAAGGAGAATCTCAATAAGCAGGTACATGATTTATCAAGGAATGCATTTAGAATCTTGATGGCTTGCTCTAGATTCTTGAGTGTTCAATTTCCTATGATGTATAAATGAAAATAGAACCAAACAACATGCGAAACAAATTGTAATTTGTCCTTTCTATCAATAAGATAAGTGAAATAGTCTTTACTAATAATGCATTACTTTGATGAACAGAAGTACAAGCTATCAAGTTAAGAATTCTGCAGTGTCAAGAATATTTTGGAGTGAGTGAAATGATATAGCTGCAATCAGGACCAGAAGTTATAATGTACACGCACATGACCAAATCAAAAGAACAATTGTCTGAGACACCCCAAAACCAAATCGTAGGATCTGATGCAAAAGAAAGAAAATATGAGATCTGGAGGATCTGATATCCCGTCAATCAAATATGGTATCAAAACACAAAGAAAACAAAATCTCTAAAGAAAAACTAAAAATGAGCATGGCAATATCAAAAAGGAAAATTACTCCAAGATAAACAAAAATATCATCATGGTTATAAACATCAATAGAATGTAAAAAAATTATCTAAAATGATTTGAAATAGGTGAATTAGATGTCAAATTGATATTCATTAAAAGAAGTCTGGTTTGAACTCCATCAAATTTTGAGGTAAAAAGCACTCCGTTGCTAAAATCTCAAAAGTTTTATATCATGCTGATAATTCCCATATCAAAACTAGTAAAATCGAGAAGAAATGATGAAGCATCAAGAGAATATAAAAAAATTAAAATTACCATATCAGAAGGTCACCATGTTGATAACTCCCACATTCAAAATAGAAAAAAATGTTAAAAAAAGAGCAAAATAAAAAGCATGCTTAGACATCAAGAGATATTCAAAATGATTAGAAATAAGCCAAATAGCTATATCAAAATATCAAAATTAATAAAACTGAGCAAAAAAAAAAAAGCTTCGACATCAAGAGAATACAAATTTAAATGATTAGAAATAAGTCAAATAACCATATCAAAATTATTAAAATTGAGCAAAAAAAAAAAAAAAACCATGTTGTGATATAAAGAGTATATATAAGACAGTCAATATGATTCGAAAAATAATTTGTACTGAGAAATATTTTTTCAGTGAAGAAGCATATAAGAAAGTTAACATGCTAATGATTCCCATACTAAAAATATTAAAATTATTAAAAATGAGTAAAAAGGCACCACATCAATAGTATCAAAAGTAGTCAAAATGATTAGAAACGAATAAAATAGCCACATCAACACTATTAAAAGTCAGCAACAAAAAAGTACACCATGCTTAGACATCAAGAGAATATAAAGAACAGTCTAATCAAATAAATTTTAAACTGTAAAAAATGCTTAGACATCAAGATAATATAAAAAAACTGTCTAATCAAATGATTTTAAACCAAAAACCATGCTTAAACATCAAGAGATACTCAAAATGATTAGAAATAAGCCAAATAACCATATCAAAATTATTAAAAATGACAAAAAAACATGCTTAGAAGAATAACAAATTTTAAAATAATCAGAAATAAGTCAAATAACTATATCAAAATTATTAAAAATGAGCAGAAAAAGAAAAACTCATGTTTTGATATCAAGAGTATATATAAAATAGACGATATGATTCAAAAAATAATAATTTTGCAACTGAAAAATAATTTTTCACTAGAAGAAACATATAAGAAAGTTAACATGCTAATAACTCCCATACTAAAAACATCGAAATTATTAAAAAGGAGCAAAAAGCACTAAGACATCAACAGTACCAAAAGTAGTAAAAAAAGATTAGAAACGAATAAAATAGCCACATCAACACTACTAAAAGTCAGCAACAAAGAGGTACACCATGCTTAGACATCAAGAGAATATTAAAAACAGTCTAATCAAATGATTTTTAAACCAAAACAAAATTCCGCTAGAAGGAGGGCTTGAACCTCCGACCTTGTGGTTAACAGCCACACGCTCTAACCAACTGAGCCATTCCAGCTTCATGATAAGTTAGTACAGGACTATATATTAAATATTTGATAAACCTATAAGTAGTCAACTATTGCAAATAGCATGATGATAGGTTTAAGATGCCAAGAGTTTCCACCAAATGACTGCCAACACATAGAATTTTGTATTACAGATATTGAGATAATTGACATAGCTTTCCAAATAAAGCTCCTTACATATGCCTATAAAAAAGAGCAAGGCATTATGCTGCTAGATTCATATATGGCTAAATAAATTATGTAGGTTTCTGATTATCCCATTTAAGAGAAGAGGAATCGAGCTATCAAAATCGTTCACAAATAAAGTTTTGCATGTAAATTCAGCACAAGTATAACTATTTTCTCACTTGTCAAGATTGAAAGAGAATTCATCTTCACTGAAAGGAGATCAATAAGTTGGCATGCTGGACATTAAAAATCATCATCAGCAAAACAAGGAAAATGCGGAAAATATTCGTGTTTTGAGAATTTTCATAGCTTGCTCTAGATTCTTCAGAGTTTAATTTATTATGAGGATGCAGATTACTTGTAAACAGTTTGATCTAGTGATGCATAATCATGTAATGTTCTCAAAGTGAACATGAAGTACCTTACTTGGAAGACAAATGATCTGCAAGTGAGGTGATCAGACTATAACTGTAAAGCAGACAACGTTGAACCCTTGAAACTTGCTCAAAATGGAATCTCCTTCAGTTTTCGACCTACCACAACAATGAACCTAGTGAATATCAACAGGCTGGTGTATGATTCATCAAGGAACATCATTTAATGCGTTGAGAATCTGGATAGCTTGCTCCAGATTTTTATGTGTTCAATTTCTTATGAGGATGCAGATCACTTGAAGAGAGAGTTTGATCTAGCGGTGCACAATAGGAGTCTCGAAGTAGACAAATGAAGTACCTTATTTGGAGGAGACTCAGATGATCTGCAGCTGTGGTGACTGTCTTAAAAACACCCTTAACATTGAGGAATATGTGACAAAATTAGTCATAGGAGAGTTAATTGTTAAAAAGACAATTAATTCAGTCATCCTTATTGTAATGGAAGCACTTAAAAGAACAGAAGTAAAGCTATTGAGATCAAGACTATTGAATGCCAGGAATATTTTGAAGCCATTTACTTTAAACTGTCGATGCATAATTGGAAATAGTACCAAACAATATGTGAACAAATTGTAATTTGTCTTTATTTCAATAAGATAACTGAAAAAATCATCTTTACTAATAATGCAAAAACTTTGATGAACAGAAGTACAAGCTATTGAGCTAAAAATTCTACAATATCAAGAATATTTTGGAGTTTGATGCAATCAAAACCAGAAGTTATAAATAAGTTCAAGAAAGTCACCAAATCAAAGGAACAATTGTTTGAAATCTCCAGACTAAATTGTCTTTATCAAGAACTGTTCGACACATAGTCACACCTATTGCGCAAGAAAGAAAGGCATTATTTTCAGACACTTCATGAAAATATGAGAACCCACTGATTTTGAGTTACTAAAATATAGGTGAGAAAAAGACAAATGAGTCAAAATCTCAAGAAAAAAAAACTATAAATGAGTATGTTAGAAGACTATCATATCGATAGGCTTCAAGTCAATTCAAAATAATTTAAAATACTCCAAGTCAAGGTACCAAAATGATTAACATGAACAAAACAAATATATTTTCATGCTTATAAATGGAGTTTGATTTTGTTTCCATCAAAATAAAGGTAACAATACTCCCATGCCAAAATCTCAAAATGAATAGAAATGGCCACATCAGAAGACACGTTGAAAAATCCGACATGAAAATATCAAAATTATCTAACAAGAGAAAAAAAATCTTAAACACCAAGAAAATATCAAAAAGAATAGAAATGACCATATCAAAAGATCACCATGATGATAACACTCATATACAAAATATCAAAATTATTAAAATGTGCAAAAAATAAAAACACCATGCTTAGACATTAGGAGAATACAACAAATACTCAAATTGATTCGAAATTAAATCAAATGACCATAACAAAATGATTTAACAATGAGCCACAAAAAAAAACACCATACTTGGACATTAAGAGAATATCAAAAAAGCCAAAATGATTAGAAATAAGTCATGTAACCATATTAAAAATATC